GAGAAAAATCACATTTTTATAGTTCCGTAAGTTAGAATGCATTACTCCAGATAAGAGAACAAAATATTTAGGATAAAATTACCAGGTCACATTTAATAAGCCAATATAGGTTCATCAGTTGTAACAAACACACTATTTGGTGGGAGGATTTGTTAGTGGTGGAGGCATGCATGGGACAGGGGATGTATGAGAAATCTCTATGACTTTCTCTCAATTTAGCTGTGAACCTAAAACTTCTCTAAAAATATCTTTTTTAAAAAAACACATAATCTACTGTAAAAAACACTAAACTTTTTCAGATTTTTAACAATCATTACCACTTGGTTACATGACCAGAATGGTGAAAGTCAGCAGCCAAAAACACTGAGAAAACCCAGTAAGCCTCCTGTAGAATTGAGTCTGCATATAACTACTCTGTACAGTCTCAACCCTTTAATTGCATCCCAGCCAAAAATCCAAAGAAGAGTAAACACATCATTAACCCATTCCACATGCTGGGTAGGTATTTTTTTCTTATTTTAATCACAGAAATGCTAATGTACTTCTTTAAATAAAAACTTTTTTATTTAAAAAGGAAGGAAGGGAGGAAGGAAGAAAAGGAGGGAAGGAGGGAGGGAGGGAGGGAGGGAGGACAAACAATGAGGTGCATAGGTTCTTTGCATGAATTGGTGTTTCAGTATTCTTAGGGTATAATCCCAGCAGTGGAATTGCCAGGTCAAAACAGCACAGTTTACAATAGCCAAATGTTGGAAGCTAATTTTACTGATGGGAACCTTAGTGCCAATCAGTAAATGAGTGGATCAAAAAACTATGGTACATTTACACAATGGAATACTATGCAACAGAAAGAAAGAAGGAGCTCCTACCCTTCACTACAACATGGACAGACCTGGAGAGCATTATGCAAAATATTAAGCAAACTATAACCAGAGACATTGAAATAAAGAACAAACTGACAGTAACGAGAGGAGAGGAAGGAGGGGGATAATGGAGAAAAAAGGGAGCGGTTGTCAAGGAACATGCATAAAGGACATATAGAAAAAGCCAAAAGAGGATAGATCAAGGGTGAGAAGGGGGGGGATCTGTGCAGCTGGAAAAAGTAATGGGGGAAAAATGGAGACAAGTGTACTTGAACAACAATAAAAAAATCCTCAATTAAAAAAAAAAATACAAAATCCCATACAAAGAGGTCTTGGAGGCTGTCGGTTAGAAAACTTTGTGGGAAGGATAGAGCTAAGAGTATTGAGTGGATTTAAAAATTTGTATAGCTTCTTGCCTCTAAAATTTGTCAACATTTCTTATTACATCCATAATTATTTTAATTTAAAAAAAATTTACTTTTTTCCATCATCATTTATCCCCTCATACTTTCTTCCACCTCCGCTCACCCCTTTTCCCCCCAATTATCACACTGTTTTCCATGTTCATGAGTTCTTTCTCTTTTTTATTTTTTCCTATTTTCCCTTGATCCCTCCACCCCCCTAGCCTTCCCTGGAGCTGTCAGCGTGCTTTCTATGAGCCTGTCTCTATTTTGCATTTTTAAAATCAAGATTTGTCCTTTCAGTTGTGTGAACACCTTTAAAACTCTTGACATTTAGATGACAGATTTCTCTCCAGAAGATTGCACTGATTTTCACTGCTACCAATCACTAACCTTTTAAAAACAGTAAAACATATCCACAAGATTTGAAAATTTTATAAACAAAATTGTCTCTTATTATTTTCATGTAAGCTTCTTTAATTATTATTGATATTGAATATTATCCATATTATATTACTCAAATGATCAAAACAACCCTCAAAAGGTATTGTTAGCCTCATTTTAGAAATGTGTAGACTGAAGCTCAGAGACTTTAAAAATCTTCAAGATTACACAGCTTGCAAGTGTTTGAAAGCATATGTGAACATAGATTTTACTTTGCCAAAATTAACTTAAGAACATGTGACTTATCTGCTCATCTTTGTTTAATGGAAGATCATATTATTTATTCTTTCTGGGCCTTAGATGTATATAATTATATCAAACATTTTCTACTCCTTGAAACAAGTGCATTTTAAAAACCTTTTATTTTCTTCGTGCAAAGCTTAGACTGAGAGGGACATCCCTCATACACTCAGCTATTTTACAGGGTGGTATGAACAGGAACTTAATGAGAGCTCATTTTACTCTGGGATTTGAACATCACTTTACTTGCTTCATTGCATATACATGTTTTAATCCAAGTAAGTGTAAAAATTTACCAACTAATACCAAACTAACAACCTAAATTATTTAAGATCTTTTTAAAGCAAAAAGTTAAATACCTTTAATCCTAAACTAGGGACATAGTCTTCAGCATAACTCTGGAAGCTACCAGGAAAATATGGTATATAGAGGGAGTGGCTCAAGTTGAAATTACCTTTAGTATGGCTGGATCTGAAGAGCTTCCTCAATACCATCATTGCATGGAGGTTAAACATTCAGGTTCTTAGTACTGATGTGTACTATAACGTGGACAAAATCTTGAAAACATGATGCTGAGTGAAAGAAGCAAACACAAAAGGTCACCTACTATATGATTCCATTTATATGGAATATCCAGAATAGATATAGCCATACAGTCAAAAAGTAGGTTAGTAGTTGCTAGGGGATGGAAGGAGCAGGAGTTGAGTGAAACTGTCTAATGGGTAGAAGGTTTTACTTTAAGTGATGGAAGTGTTTTGAAACTAGATAGAGATGGTTGTTATATAGCATTGCTAATGTGCTAAATGCCACTGAATTGTTCACTTTAAAATGGTTAATTTTATGTAATATGAATTTCATCTAAAGAAATTTTTTTTTTAATTCCAAGTTCTTCAACCCAATAGATCTCAATTTGAAAGCTACCTCTGTCCCTTCCTTGCTGGATGACAACGGACAAGTTATTTTAATTTCCCAACCTAAACCCTAACTCTAACCATTTTACCTTAAGCCTGCTTTACCTTAAATGCCCATACAGGATTGTTTTGAGGATTATATGAGATAATCTATGTACCACCTTTGGCACAGTGGCTGATGCATCATAAATTCTCAGGAAATGGTGGCTATTACTGCTTACTACTATTAGCATTGTCAGCAACAATAAAAATAGTAGGTCATGTTCCAAGCAAGGTTCTTGGTGTATTCAAGTGACTACTTTCCAGTTGGAAGCCTCATTTCAGGTTATTAATTTAGGAAAAATTCACATGGCATTAACTTTAAAAATGTATTCCCTCAATGGGATTCTTCTTTTGAAAAGCAAGTTTTAGATTAAAACTGTTGTTAATTAATGTCAAAATAGAAGTAGGTCTGTGAGAGCAATGAGTAAGGGTCACATCCCTAAAACTTCAGATTATCAGCTTCTGTAGGAGAGTAGCACACTGTACTTCCCAATTTATACTCCTTTACTGAAAAGGGACCAGCTCATGAAAAAAGTCAGGCACTGAGGCTTTTAAAAGTAAATGTGAGAAGAAAAACAGGGATTTCACTGGGCTTCAGATAAGGAAAACTTTGCCTATCAGTTGAAAGTTTCCATTTATCTGTAGTGGATGGCATGTGTTACACAGAGGGGTGGCTCGATGGTCTCTGTTCCTTTAACTCAATCAAAAGTAGTTTCTACAACAGTACTTTTTATTAATGGAACTCTCCAAAGAGCTAGAAGTGCATTTTTTACTTCCCTGACTGACAATTTGTTACCCACACATGTTTTGGTTTTATTTGTTCTTCTTATGGGTTTCCCATATCAAGAGGAGGCTGAAAAAATTTTTATGAGATAGAAATGAAGTTTTGTAGTCTTCTTGTAACTATGTAATTTGTTTCCCTGAAGGCTAATAAAATGAGATATAAAGGACAACAACATCAATACCACTTGTTGAATGAGGCAATAAAGGTAAAGTCTGTTCCTCAATATCAGTTCAGCTTTTCCATGGTAGAGTGGAAAGTAAAAAGAGACTGCTAAGGCTATGGAAACTGCATGATCTTCAATTGGAGACAATGCAAATGCATATGGATTTGCATCCTGGTGTTATTAATTATTAGCCGTGTGACCGTGAGTAAAATCTTAGCTTTTTGGGCTTTAGTGGCCTAATGTGAAGAATGAGGATATCTATTTCCAAGAGTTGTTGAAAGTATGGCTTTAATTATCCTGTTTTTAGTGTTCAGTGCTCAGCAAATAACTGGAGATATATGTCTTTTCCCCTTGTACTGCAAGCTTCAAGAAAGATGCTGTGGCAGCCTTTGCCATCAGAGTAGCCAGTGAGTTTTGTGTGTTCTTGTGGGCTAGGGAATGTTTGCTTAGTGCTTTCTGTCCAGTATCTCACTTAAATTCTTACATTAACTTTATGTGGTAAACATCATACCCAGTTTACAGCTATGGAACATGAGGCTCAGAGAAGTTAAATGATTTGTCCAAGATGGCTCTGCTAGCAATTATAAAAGATAACAACACCCAAACTCAGGTCTCCCTGACAATGGAGTTTGCATATATAACTTCTACTATCAAAAACCTTCAGCCAGGGTTTAGATGCTGTTTAGCTGATCTGCTGTTTGTTGAATTAAATCTTAGAACTATACAGTAGACACTGAATAGTAACATTGTGGGTTATCCTCACCTGAAGTCTGATTTTCAGCTTCAGAAAGACATTATATATCCTGGTCAGTATTCTCTTGGACACAGACAATCCACTCAGTTGAGCACCCTACACCCAAGAGTTCCTGTGACAGGACTGAGGACTTCTGAACAGGCCCAGCACATACTAAACATGTGTATGCAGCATTTGCATAGTGGTTCATAGGTCAGAAGACCTCTGTGCAGTTGGATGAAATGAAGTCAAGAAAAGGTACAAGTGAAAATACATTTCTTTCCAAAATAATGGTGCATCTGCAAGGGTATGACTGGCAGTGATATTCTTGGCATTCATTGGAAACACCCCAGGCTGCTTGGGTAATTAATTTCCTAAGGTTAGTCATTAACAGGCTTCCTGCTTTCTTCCTCTTTTGACAGGCCCAGCTGTGAGATACAGTAAGTTCAAAACGTCACAGGCCAGGCCACCTCCCCTGCTTGGGCAGCACACAACGCACATCCTGAAAGACACCCTCAGATATGATGACAGGACCATCCGTGAGCTGCTCAGGACTGGAGTTGTGAGCCAACATGAAACTGAGTGACAAAGGAAAAATATTCTTTCTCAAAACCACAATCTGAATGCATTTTGTTAGCAAAGACAATACTCTTTCTGAACCCCTCTCCCCAATTCTGGTGCCTGGCACTAGAAAGTAGTTCGGTATATTCCAGACTTCCTGCCTAGCATTTGGCTCTGGTATCTGCTTTTTAAATGTACCCCACTTTATGCACTGGCTAGTGTGGCTCAGTGAATTGAGTACCATTCTGTCAACTGAAAAGTTGTCATTTCGGTTCCCCATCAAGGCACATGTCTGGGTTGGTGCCCAAATCCCTAGATAGGGGTGTATGAGAGGCAACCAATTGCTGTTTCTCTCACATATCCCTCTCTCTATAAAAATAAATAAATAAAATAAAATAAAAGATTTAAATGTATCCCAGCTTTCATTTCTTACCAATTTTTCCTTCAGATAATAGATTAATTGTGGATTTGTGAGATTTTTTTTGGTAAAGATTTTTTTTCTAGAAAAATACATTCCTCATTCTAATTACATTAATAGCCTAAATATTGTGCCTTTCCAACCCATGCTTGTCTGGAAAAGAATAGATCTCCTGACATTTTCTCCTTGCACATAAAGTCCTCATTTAATCCTTTGTCATAAAGTCAAAACAATACACAGAATGACAGTCTCAGTGGTTGATTTTAAGCAGAATAACTTAATTTTGAGTTTATGAGCCCTTTGTTAATCTGTAATTGAGACCATAGACTTTGCCGATGGCCATGATAGAACTGAACTCCATTCTCCGCCCCTGGAGTAAAAGTTTGCTTTATGTTGTGTTTCTCTGGCTTTTTATGATACAGTAGCAGAAAATCAATTTCTATCAATGCATTTTGAGGTGTAGGTATCTACCTGCATCAGGGATTGAAGAGTGGTTCTTTAATTGATGCCTTATTTTGAGCCAAGTGTAAATGCAACAAGGTTTTAAATGGATGTCAGATGATTATTTATGTATTAAAAAATGTATAAATAATGACAAATAGAAGAATGAAATGAAAATGTTCATGGTAACCTGAAGAGGAATGTATCTACTGTTGAAGAAGGTATCATGATTATTATTAAGTATTTTCATTTAATAATATAATCGACTGTAGAAGAATGTATCATGACTTATTATTAAATATTTGTATTTAAGCATTTAAGTATTTGTCAGTGAATTTAAAGTATGGAAAACATCTGTCCAGAAGGTAGTAGCTGAATTGTAGATATGTTCCAGAATAAACTGTCACTCAGACTTCTAATCACCCACACCCAGGTATAGTCCAAAGAATCAGATGACCCCTGTGATCAATATCCTGATATAATCTAAATTCATGGTCAATTAGGAACACATATTTGAAGGTCATGTCATTACATACAAAATGGTAACAGTTAAATAACACACATTCATCTTTCAAACTGTGATTTAGAACTAGTTTTCTTTTTGTGTTCTTTTTTATTGGAATAGTTTTAGCCATTTATCCATGTTATGAACCCAATATGTGTCTAGAATAATCAAGGATTCCAAATTGAAAAAAAAAGTCTTCTCACATGGCCTCATAAGACTTTTTAGAAAGAATGCTTACTTACTAATTTTTGAAACAGTTATTGTTCTCCCTGTTTTTTTCCTCTGTGCAGATCTTATTCTAAAGAACTCCTGCTGTTCTTCCACCAGTTAGAATTTCATCATACACGGGTAATTGATGCCTTATGTAGTACATTTCCCCCAATGGCTATTTCATAGATATATACAGGGTCCAGCACAAATAATGCCCCTTTTTATTACAAAATCATAAGCATGTAATTCTGTTAACAGTATCATACTCAAGCATGCCATATGACATTCTAGGTGAAATGTTCAAATTAAAACTATAAATTATTACACACATATTAATACCTTACTGACCACACTCAGGTAGGCATAACTTCTGCTGGACCCTGTATTTGGACACATTCACTCACTTCAAGTCAGACATCTAAATGAAATTCCTCCATGAATATACAATTAATAATGAAAATGGTAAATGGCTGGATGACAGACAATTGACAAAATCATATATCTTAGATGAAAGATCCACCATTATTTCTACTGATCCAAGTATATATCTTGAAACGCAAATTACTTGGTTGCTGAGCAATGACATTAAATATCTGGGTAGTAATATGTAGAAAGATACTTGATATTCAGAGAAGGTCACAAAATGCTTCAAAAGCCTTGAAATCAATCAAAACTGCAGTCTTCATGCATACATAGCAAAGTAACCATTGGAGACTTTCTCCAGTGCAATCACGTATGAGCTAACCAGATCACTACCTACACAACTCAAAATGATCCAGGAGAACTTTGAACCTAGTCATCATCCAACAGAAAGCATTTATTTTCCCTAAGTGAGGGAAATAATTCAGAAAAATTAGCCCTGAAAAAACCTTTGTGCTAGTTAAATTTTTTAGTAAATGCCCCAGATCAAGTTCTTCCTATAAACAAATGTACTGTTTTAATTATCAGGATCTATTATCTTACACATTCCCTAAGCTGAAGACACAAGTAAGTACCATTTGTTCAAGTTCAGTTTGTGTCAAGGCCTGCCTTCTGGCTTGTGTCTGAAGCTTGCCTACAAAACTTTTTGAAACTTAGTGGGTTAACCAATATGGAAATGAGGGTGTGTCCACAAGCATTTAGACTTCTTTCACTTGATTTTTTCTGAAACTCTTTGCTGCCATATTTTCTTATTAATCAAGCATGATATTTCCCATCATGTAGTCTGATATGCTGAATATTTTCCTAGAAAAAAGAGGAGAAATGAACATTAACCAACTTTGTGTGACTACTCCAGTTATATGATGTCCTTTTTTCTTTGATCCATTTACTAAGAGTTAGAAGTATAACCATGATTTGAAAACAAAAAGGAGGCCTTATTTAGGCTATTTCATACTGGGTCATTCAGCTACTAAAGCTGGATAACCTCATAATGGGAGGTTTTACAGGAAGACTCTGTGACCCTGCTTTTAGCTTTCTTCATGGAAATTTACACCCACTCACATCTCACCTGAATTTGACATTTCACCACTGACTCCTTTGTCTCGTGATGTTGGCATGTTGTCTACTTTAAGAGCTTTATAGATGTGAGTTTTGCTTGTCACTTTCCCACATGCTTTCATCCATATGACTCATTCTCCAGATAATATGCCTACAGGTACTGAGAAAGAATGCCAGATCAGGACTGAACAGACTGTCAGATCTTTTGCCTCTCCTCTGACTACTCACCATCGATTCTAAATTGGCAAATGAGACAAGTGGGAAGAAAGGCACAGTCCGTACCCTTTATACCCTGAACCTGGGATATTCATTTTCAAACTCATTCTCTGAGATTATGATATTCTTTTTGCATTTTCTTCTATTCATAGGAAACTATTTGTTGTAGTGAGCCTTTACCATTGATGAGATACCTGAGATAATGGACCTGAAAACAATAGCTGTTAATCTTGATTGTAGTATCCATTGGAAATGAGGTTATCAAGCTCTCTTCCTTCTCGATTTTGTTGTAATAGTATTAGTATGAGTACGGTATTGTTTGAAAAGAAGAATGAAAAGATTCAGAGAAAAGTACATATTTCTATCCCAAACAGCAATTGGGAAAAAAACAAAAAAACAAAACAAAACAAAACACATCACAGGATCCCATTATCATCCATATTGAGATGTAGAAATTTTCTCAGACATCAGGATCAAGTTTTTCCTAAACCAGGGTTAAATGTTTTAAAAATTACTACTCTTATATGGTGCTTAGTATTTTAATGTAGACATACAAAGCTATCTTCTGAGTCTATATGGCCCTGAACTTTTAAACCAGTCTGGCTGTATGCTGAACAGGTTTATGTGGTATAATTAGTAAGAATAAGCAACTTCAGTAGACATGTTTTCCCAACACCCATTCAAAAACATGTCTGCTGCTGTCACTCTAGGAGCTTAAAGTATTATAGACAAATGCATGCAAATTCTTAGCACTCACATTTAATTCCATATACTAGGGGGGGAAAGTACAAAAATGAGAGTTTTGAAGATATGAGAGTTAGAGTAAGTAAATTTAAGAAGCAGGAAAGGAAAAGAGAGCATGGCCAAGTCAGGCAGATCCAAGTGTGCATTTGCTTAGGAGACTCTAGTGCCCACAGTGGGATGAGCCCAGCCTCCTGATGTTCAGGTGCCAGGAGGGGAAGGCAGACACTGAATGCAGCTGTAATACCACCCATGAAACCAAGTTCACCTACCTCCAAATTATTCCTGAGAAATAGCTTCTTTTTTCCCTATTTCTTAAGGCTTTAAGTTTAAAAGTCACTGCCCCAAATCCTGCCCCTTTGCAACATTATTTTTTAAAAAAAGCTGTTTTAGACAAAATAATGGTCCATCAAAGATGCCCACACCTTAATTTTCAGAACCTCTGAATATGTTACCTTGTGCAAGAAGAGATTAAGGTTGTTAATTAGGTTACCTTAAAATAGAAAGATTATCCTGGATTATGCAGATGTACCTAGTATAAACACAGGAGTTCTTTAAGTGTAGAAGAATAAACATCAGTTATGTGATACGAGAAAGACTTCACTGATGGACCACTGCTGACTTTGAAAATGGAAGTGAACCAAAAATGTAGGCATCTAAAAGATGGAAGGCAAGAAGAATGGACTGTCCCACACAACCTCCAGAAGGAACTCAAACCTGCTTGATTTTAGGCTGGTAAAACTTTTTTGGACTTATTTTGAATTTCTGATCTCCAGAAGTTTAAAATAATAAATTTGCATTGTTTTGAAGCCACTAAATTAGTGATAGTTTGTTACAGCACCAATAGAAAACTAATACAGAGGCTTCTCTGTATTTGCAAGTCTAAAGTGACAGGAAAACCACTACTTTGCAAAGTGACCAGGTGATGCTTTCTTTCTTTCGTCTTTCTCTATTTCTCTCTCTACTTACTTCCCTATCTTTCTTTTCTCCCATTATTTGAAACTCCTTCTTACTTTCTGGCTGATAATATTTTTTCTCCTTTTCCTTTTATCTTTCTTCCCAGCTTCCTCCTCTTCTATCTCATTTTTCTCTGTTTTCTCTACCTAAACACACACAGAGTGCTCGAGTGCTACTCTTGAGGGTGCCAAAACCTACAACTGACCAGAGAAATAGGCCTTGCACAGTAATTTGGAAGGTAACTCTTGGGCATTCTGACCATGACTTCACTTCCACAAAAAATTCTTGAATTAATCTCTGGGTAGGGTGATTCTTAAGTAACTGGCTGCTCATTCTCCCTTGAAACTCAGAGGAAAACATGAAGGAGTACTCCAAATGCTACGCTGGGCTGGGGCAGAACTCTCAGGTTTACTACCTCTGTCACGTCTCCAGGTTTGAGAAAAAAGACTATAATACAAAACAAAATCTAGACTCTGTGACAGCCAGGACCTTGCTGCTTTGGATATTGGGCTTTAATCTGAGAAAGGGAGGTGGGAATGTGGAGGAATGATTGGTCAATGGTTCTGCTCCAGCAGTAGGCCTTGGCCTCTCTTTCTTGTTCTTTTTTGGAGAGCTTACTTGGCCTTCAGATAGTGATTATTAGTTTGTCCCTAGCCATTTTATTCAAATGACCTCCAGGAGGATGGTGCCTTCTTCTTTGCACTGGTTTTGCCATCTGTTAAATAGGGTGACTGGATCCTCATAGCTCTCTATGATTTTTTCTTTCAACAGGATAAAAAACACTTTAACACGTCACTGGCCCCCTTTTCTTTTTCTTGCAAATTAACCACATGACAGTCTGTTCAACTCAGCTAGGTTTCTTTGGCTCCTGACCACATATATTGGAGGAAAAATGCTTTCCTGCCCCTCATCCTGTCACCCGGGCCCTTTCTTCTTGCCCAAAATTTTGCGCAAGTGCTCACCATGAAGCAAGACACTCAGCTTCAGAACACAGAACTGAGATTGAAATTAATGTAAAACAGCCCCTTTACCTCTTTGTGAACCCTAAAGAAAAATTCAGACTTCCCTAGCATCTCTTGGTATGAGATGTGGCAGCATGTGTAACACACATTGCCCGACAGTCTTGAATTTATGATTTTAGATCTTAAAAAAACTTTTTGGCTGTTCTTGACAGGAGGTTTGAATTGTACCACAAA